TTCACGAAAATATTTATTTCTTATATCAAAACCCGAATAGAAAACATCAGCATATTTTTCAAACAACATGCATGTCTAAAAGACTTAATAAAAAACATCATAAAGATGTCTCTCTTAAAACATAATGTTTAAATGATATCTAAAAGACATCATAAAGAGGTTTTCTAGACAATGCCTGTTGTCTGGAATTTATTACATGTATAAAATCGTCTTTTTTACATTGAGCTTATGAAATTGCGCATAAATATCCACATGAAAGTTGTCAAAAATCATAATTTTAATTAAATTACAATCTCAATATCAAATAGTAAGAAATATCAACAAAAATGATTTGATCAGAAAGATCATTAGTCACATTCACCAGACACAGCACTTGAGTGAGCGCTCAGTAAGTACTGCGATTGCAATAGACACTTTAATCATGTAATAAATTTATAAGAATATATCAAAAGCACTAATTTAACTGTCGTGTCTGTTGAATGCACCCATTTTTCTATTATGATTTTTGGCAATTTTCTCATATTTTCCACGAATATATTTAAATCAGATCCTATATCAGAACCTGCGAATAGAAAACATCTAGATATCTCCTCCAAATAACATGCACTTCTAAAAAAACGTCGTAAAAACGTCATAAAGACGTCTCTCTTAGAACATACACGTTTAAATAGTAAAACATCATAAAGGCGTCTTCTAGACAATGCGTGTTGTCTGGGATTTATTACTTGTTAATCTTTGGTAACAAAAGACAGTTTTTAATTTTTGCAAAGAAAGAAAAGTACTAGAAGAACATATTAAGACATAATATAACGGTATTAGAAAAGTACTTTAGATACATACATAGAATTGTTTTTGTCTTGTTTACATAGTACATATATGATTTTTGATTTATTTGATTTGAAATATAAATATTAGAGTATTAGTTGTAGTATAAAAAAAAAATATAAAAATATAAAAATTTTTGGGCATATGTATGATGTATGAAATTACTGATCATTATATATAATGAAAATGACTAGCTGAATATTCCCCAAAATAAAAAAAATTTTTTTATTTAATCATTTATATACTTTTCATTGATGCTGTTAATTGATAAATATATAATGTATAAATTAAAATCAAAGATTACAATGTACACCTAAAAGCAAGACAAATCGGATTCTTGATATGATCAATATGGGAAAACAATATCGTAGTCATTTTACATGTAACAAGTAATATTTTGTTATCAATATTCGATTCGCAGGTTTTAATATTTTTTGGTATGTAAAAAGAATTACATACCACATTTGTGTTGGTGTAAAAAATTTATAATAATTATTTTCTATACACGTTTATAAGCGTTTGCAATGTAGGTTCGATTTCTAAAGTACGAATTTTTTCAATTTATAAAAAATACATAAAGAAAAATTTATATTTCATTATATATATATATATATAATATATATATGTATATAGGTTAAACTAAACTTACAGGTAAAACAAATAAAAGGGTATTAATACGTTTTATTTAAAAAAAAAAAATAAAAATAGATTTTATAGAAAAGATTTTTATATCATAAAGGAAAGTTGGATTCTGTACAGTATATGTAGTATATACAGAGTGACGCACGAAATCATACCATTTGATATATATGTGATATATTTATTCTGAACAAAATTAATACAGAAGTGATATAGAATTACCAAAGCTTGAAAATTAGATAAATAAATGGATATTTCGTGCGCTATATATATATTTCACGCATATAAAAAAATCAAAAAGTGTCTTCCTCTTTAAAGAGAAAAAGATCTTAGTTTGTACCTGTACAAAAGTATTCTCTGTAACTATTTATATCTAACATCACCGTACAGTTAACTCAAGAAATTTTATATCTACAGATTACATCTAACAGATTGAGTAAAAGAAAGATATTGTTCTATGTATCTAAAATTATATAGTTTCTCGGACATAGAATTATGTTTTTGTTCTGTTAATTGAATTTTATTGCACAGATAAAAGTCAGATTTTTACATACACGTTTAAATTTATAAAATTTTCAAGTATAACAATAATTCAATTAACAGAATATTTAAATGTATCAAATAATGCATAATGATCTTTAAGGAGACGGATAGTACAATTTTATAGAAAGTATAATTTAACAATTTCTCAAAATTGTCACTTTGTATACATGTATAGCGATACATGTATATTGTAATTAAATAGCTTTTTATAATTTGCAAATAATACTATATAAGTTTCATGCATCTGTAAATAGGTATATATTAAGTAGAACAACTCGTTTACATTATGTGAGTATGAATTATTTGACTGGGAAATATTCGTGATAAATTCAATTTTTTTTATATATCGCGATATACGTTAGTTTTGCGTATGTGTAAAACGCAACTTTTAATTTTTATCTTATTGAGACTGTTAGAATTCCATATCATGTATACACACACCACGAAAAGTTAGAAACATCGTATACCAGGATGATGGTCAAAAAATTTCAGAACAATATCCTGATACTTCTGACTGAGATTTCACGAAGTCCAGGGACACGTTATGTGAATACTCAGAAAGTATCAAATTGCTGTCGAATCCCAGATATCATCTGGTACACTTGCAGAAGAACTCAGTGTCACTCGAATATAGACTTCGTTACTAGGAACGAAGTGAGTAAATCTGTGCGAGAGATACAGCAGTTGATTAAGCACATCACAGTCTACAATTCACGATATATGTGCGCAACTTATATCGTCACAGTGGATGTTCCTGCATTGCTCTTGAATTAAGAGACATTCTGTGTGCTTAAAAGGAAGAACTCAACAATCTTTGGTGTGTGGATGCGGATGTATTGTTAAATATATATTTGAATCATATCACACATATTAATGACAACTTAATAATGTGGGAGATTATGATATCGTAAACGCCTAAATAATGAGAAAAAGCAAAGAGAAATAATTTATACTCACATACTGGATGCGACAATTTTAATAAAAAAAAAAAGAATATGTTGTATGCATTTTGACTGCTTAATGATATGCGCAAAGTATCCAAAATTTACAAACATAGAGTATAGAAATTGTGTAATGTGAATCAGAAAACTAAATATTCCTTTTTATGTTGATAAATGTGCGAAGAAAATGATTAATAGATACACTACTGCTTAAAAGTATTTGTCCATTAGTAAAAAAAAGTATTGTCTTATAGTAAAATTAGATTTTGATGTATAAAAAAGATATATACAAGTTCGAGACAAATACAATACTTTCGAGCGGTAATGTATCCTTAATTCGTAATATTTGTGCGAATGTACAAAATTGTGTAAGTTGTACAAATAGAAAAAAATCTATTGATAATGAATGTTACATAAATAAACATTATTATTTGTGTTCCGTAAGAGAGAGAAAATGAGTAAATGTCATAAAATTATTAATGTTATTAATAAATTATAACGATGTGAAAAAAACTTGCATGATATACATAATGTAAATACTTCTGTTAATAATAAGTGGCATCGATGTAATAAGAATTGTTTACGGGCAATACTTGATCATAATATGAATTAAAAAAATGATATTTTATTATAATCATGTATTTCTTATTTATATAAACTTTGACCCGGAAAGCTGTTTCTCAAAAAATTCCTTAGACACAAAGGAAATAAGAAATATTGCCTTTTAGATGTCTTTCACTATTAATACTGACCAACAAATACTGACAATTTTATTGATCATGTGTGGTTAGTATTGATAAATTTATATAGAATATTAGCTGCGTTCGATATTGTAAATCTGAGATGCCGAGCTAACAGGTAGTGAGTATAGAAAAATAACATACGAATAAAATAATACAATAGAAAAATGTTAATTACCAAACGATTTTCAAGATGGAAGAGCAAGCGAATGCCTCAGATTCACGGTGTCGAACGTAGCTACTAATAGTGATCCGAATTTCTTCATATAGCATCAGTATCTCCTACCACAGTGATATCCCCTACCATAATGTGATTCCCTTTCCTTACCACGATAATGCTTGAGAATTAAGAAATCCGAATCGATAATATGTCAATATTTATACTAATATTGACCTTGTCAGATCCGTAATGTGCACAAAAATAAGCTGAAATATTATCAATATTGATCGCATAAGGTTGTAAAAACATTAATGTGTACTGACAATATTACCGATCAATATTATTGATCGTATAAGATCCACATTAGAGTTGTAATAAAATATGAATTTCTTATTATATAAAATAACATGAAATCACTAATAATTATATATGGAAAAATTAAAAATTGAATGCTTAAAAATTATTTTATTCTTTTTCAGTTATCTGTATATTTTTTATCGATGCTATTAATTGATAAGTATACATGTAATATATAAATTGAAATATTGATTACAAATATATTTAATCTTTAGTTAGTTACACAAAAATACGTCGTTAATCGTGCAGAATTTCTATTCCAAAAAATAAAATAAGAAAAATAAATAAATATATACAATAAAAAATATTTTTTATTTTAAGCAATAAAGTTACGCAAATCTAAGAACATAACTTTTAAAATATTATAAAAACAAGATGAATCGCAGCGACCTTGCACTATTAATTGAAAGTTAATAATAAGAACAACTTAGATTCCTGATATATTCAAAAGACCAGTATGATAAGTATGCGGGAAAGGTGATCTTGAGGCTCTTCTGGTTTGGTAGAAGGTATAGAATAATGCTGATGCTTTTCATTTAGTGACAGCACAAATGTTTTTTAATCTTTGTTATTCATTGAATGTTAAGAAAGATAGAATTCTAAAAAAAATTATATAAACTCATATTATATATATCCAAAAGAGTATATCTATTTATATGAATTAAATTAAGTATACGAAATATCTTCTTTACTCGGCTGTATCTTTCTTTGCATCTTCTATTGTCTATAAATAAACGATTTCATGTTAATTCTCAGCATGATTAATCTATCGATTTTATTGTATTTATTTTGTACCTCATCAGATTTTAAAGTGAACAGTTCTTCTTTCGTTGTCCTCTTGAAAAAATCTAGCTGTGATTAATAAACAATAATAGACGAATAAAACATACTATATTAGAATAATAATGATATATATAGATATATAATGATAGTATAAAAAATTTACCTTATTTAATATAATAACAACGATACATAATAATATTAGACCTAATGAAACTGACACAAGTACAACCAAAAGTTGCAATTTCTGCGTCTTCGTTGTATTATGAAATTCTGTCGTGACATTCGTATTGTGTCTACAACATAAATGTTCCTTAAACTGCAGTATCTTTCAGAATTTACGAGATAATTAATAATCAACATTTTGACAACTTTTAAAAATATTTACCTCTCGTTCATCCTAAAAATCCTATTTGCCGGTTTTATGATTTCGACATAAGCATCTGTGCTGATTTTCACAATCTTCATTTCGTTAAACAAATTAAAATGATCTTAAAATAATTATGCGCGTTAAAAAAATGATAGAGAATGGCAATCGTAGATTACGTATAAAAATATTTCTTTTTTTTGTTCAATCATTACCTTTGAGCTTTGTGGTATTGAGAATTAATCTCATCACTAATTTCCCGATATCCTGTTGTGTTTTTAACGCATTCAGATCACAGTATATCGTCGAACAGTTCACACCATATGTCGAACAGTTCACGTATACGATATCGCGTTCTTGGATTGTTAGATTACCGTTCGAATCTTTGGACGTCGTCATTCTCAAAATGTACAATGTTTGTAAGATATGAGCACCAAATGTTATTATGTAATTGTCCGCATTTCTTTTGAATACATCATGCGTCGCATTTTGCAGCGTTTCGTTATTATAGTCTAGATTATATAAATTAGATGCATCTGACGCTGTCTCTCCTAAAAATTCCTGCTGCATATTCATCAGATTCACTCCATTTGATAAGCAGTCGTAATATTTTCCAGATACATAAATCTGGAAAAATTGTTAGACACCTCGCATGTAGGAAATCGTTAAGAATCGTTACATATGTATATATGATATTATATGTGTTACTGTGATATTTTACAGGATTATGTACATATACATATATATTATTTTACGACATTTATTTTAAGTATTTTAACTGAATAACTTGAAAACAAAAAATTTTTGAGAAAAATGTTTTAGAGAAAAATTTATATATCACTTTAAGTGGGGCATAAAAAGACTTATATAATTTAAGTTTGACTGGCGAATCGTATTAAAAGTCACTTCTTTTTTTAGATAAAAACACTTAATTTTTTTACATAAATAATTTTCCTCAATATTCTACGTATTAAAGTATAAAAGTAATGTCATAAAATCTGGTCATTTCCATTAAAATTAATTTTGACAACTTTTTGATTGTCATCCTTTATATATACATTTATCGCATGTACACTACAATTTCATTATTTATTAAAATTTTTTTTTATGTTTTGTTATCAAATTATTTATATCAAAATGATTAAAATAAATTATTTTTATATAAAAATTAGATATTAATGTGAGTTTAATACTCACTCGCGGCTTATACAAAAATATAGGAGAATCTGAGTTGTGTATAGCCGTTGGTAGATTGACGATAAGTCGCGCCTCTTCTATAGGTGTCTCACCGAATTTCATTATTTGATAAACGTGTTGAAAAACTATATTTGATCGATCACTATCCAAATTAGGTAGATAATAACTTTTCTCAATCGCTTTTCTGCAACACGACACAGCTGTCATCATCAAAGATTCATTACATATTCTTTCTTTTTCCTGAAGTATACTGACCCATTTAACAATAAAAAAGCTTCACTTTGTAAAATCAACGGTAATTTAATCATATGCGTGCCATTATTTGTGTTGCGAGTTCGTATCTCCGTAAAGAACTCCAGAACTTGTCCATGCAAAGAACCGTTGGTCAGATGTCTCATATCTAAATCGAGTTTCACAACTTTCTGTAAGAAATTTGTTAAATTTCTCGAGAGAAAGATTTTCATTTTTTCTTAAGAAATTTCATTAAAATAATAGAAGAAAATTTAATTATTAATTAAATCTTTTATTGAATCATATTGATTCTGTGATGTTTAATAACATTTATAATTAAGTCATACATAGCCTATAGTTATGGCTAAAATGGTCAAGCCAGCGTTTCTACCTGCTCATCTGTTCCAAATGGGTTGCCAACGTTGCAAATAACCGTCAGGATATCTTCGTCTGTGTCTTCTTCACAAAATGATAAGATACTACGAAGTACTATCTCCTTCGGTAGAGTAAACACGATTGTTGTAAGATATGCCGGCTCAGCATAATTCTTTAAATGTGTTTCTAAAGTGATGTCATTGGAACCAATTATCCAAGTATTATTTTCCCTATATTTTATTAAGGTAAACGTAAACAATTGCTCGAAGAAATTCAATATTGCACTCGATGTTAAATGTCACTTGCCTGACCCCCCAAAGTTTCATCGTTCCATGTATGTTGGAATTGCAGACTCTATCCTCTCCGCATTCAATGTCGAAAGGAAGCAAAACGTGCACGCTCATCATTTTATTATTTTTGCTTTCAACAGGGCAGGTCTTACAAAATTCAAATGAATCATTGTACGTAAAATCATGAGATGCATAAATGGTAATCGGTTCAATAAAATCTTGAATATCATTCTACAAAATATCATCGTTATTAAAAATCATCGTTATTAAAAATCAGGCGTTAGATTTTGTAAGTATCAATGTTTGCTGTATTTACCGAAAGAGTAATAGTAGCATTCACACACGTATGAATGGAAACATCCATTGAGTACATTTCTAATGAAGTCTCTTTAGTACGTTTGTATTTTTGGTCCATAATAAGAGAGACTTTGAAAGCTGCAAATTTTTTTTATAAATTGAGATTTATGTAATTATTACCTATGACGCTTCCTAACATACCATGTATATTTGTAATGTTGTAGTTTTGATATTCAACACACGCTTCAACTAAAAAGTTACTTATGTTCCTTTGTAAAGTGCTTGGAATGGTATATACAGTTAAATTTGTTCTTACAATGGGTTTACTCCGAAGTACTATGACATGTCCTGATTTATATGCGCCTACCGCGATGTCTGCGTACCTATATATATAAACGACAAAGATATAGATACTGACTTTGGAAATAATTTAACGTAAAATAATCGTAATTTTTAATCAAAATATTATTTATATATTTAAATATTAGCATATGTAGTTATTTATTTGCAACCCTTAATATCTTATATATTTATCTGGTTCATTCAAAATTAAAGAACAACGGTTCAATATTTTAAAAAATTACTGCTTTACTAATTGCTATTATTAATTTTAAGAATGAAAATAGTTCAGAATTAACAACAATTTAATAAAATTCCTCCAGACTTAACTAAAATATAACAAAATGCAAATAATGAATTCCTTTTAACTATATAAATACAATTTAATATAATGAATAAATCAAAGTTGCATAATAATTTACTAACCCATTGTTATCAATATCGATCGGTTCAGATATCGAAAATCCAAACGTTTGTATGTTCATTCCTTTCGTCGAAGGATTATGACTAAAAGATTGCATTGTGATCCTTTGTGACATTGTAGGTCTTACTTTATCTTTTAAACTTGTGTCGCCATTGTAAATATAAATTGCTCCGGATTCTTCCCAAGGAGCGCTTACTATAATATCTGAAATTCAGCAAAAATAGCGCATTTATTTTTATAATGAGCTTTCTGACGCTGAAATGTTTTTAAATTAATTACAGCTTTGATTAATTACCACAAAAATCATCTCCATCCACATCACCGACTGCTACTGCGTAACCGAACTGTGCATCTTCTCTGGCACCTTTTAGAATCGTGGCTGCTTCGAACTCTTTCTATATCAAAATAAACAATTTAACAAAATATATATTATTTATTTTTATAATTTCTGAGCTAAATAGAACTAAAGCGGCTTATTTAGAAATTGATAAAATTATACATACTAGAATGTATTGGAGAGTTTTGGTTCATACAATAATAAAATTTATACCTTTGAGCTGCCCAGATATATGTGAATTCTGCCGTTATCATTCCCCCAATGTGGAGCTCCGACAACAAGGTCGTATAGACCGTCGTTGTTTAAATCACCGCTGGCTAAGCTGGCTCCAAAGAATTCGCCGATGTCACTGCCACGAAGATTCGTAACTAGGGGTATAAAATCTCCGTCCATATCAACTATAACAACCTATCATATAACGTTTAATATCACATGCTATGATCTCCTCTTCCCGGAAGAGATGGAACGTTTTTCCTGAATAAATAATATAAATGGAATGCTTTACCTGCCCTATGTAATTCCATCCTGGATCCGCACAAGCGTAAAGGGGTTGATTTCGGTGGAAATAATATCCTGATGTTACCGCATAGCCTATTATGATATAGAGCTTAATCAAATTCTGTTTTCGTATATATCATGCCATAGAAATTTTATTTGTTACATAGAATTCGTACCAAATTTTGATAGATCATCATATATCGGTATATTATCTGTAGTTTTTCTATAAATCTCATTAAACCTGTACATCCGAAAACGTCCTATATTGACACTACCTATAATGTTGTCATTTGGTCTTCCAACAATACGGCTTATTGATCTATATTGTTTCTTAAAAAAAAAAAGCCGTAGACAAATGGCAATAATATTTGACTAAATGATATTAATATTATATTGAAAGAATGAGAATTAATGATTTATAATAATATATTAAATTAAACAATTATAATTACGTACCTGTAAATAAGGTATCCGTAAAGATACCGCAAAGGCAACGGAGAAACCATGGATTGGATCATACCATGTATTTTTGCTGAAATCTAATAAATGTAATATTATATGTGATCCTTAAATTTATTTTTAAACAAAAAAATATATTATAGACGAATCAATATAAGATATATATTAAAACAAAAATCGATTGTTAAAAAAAAAATTAAGGGCCGATTAAGCCTATTTGCAATAATTTGCAAATAGGCAAATTACATGCATTTTTACATGCTGCAGACTATACTGAGTAAGCAAAAATTCATCGATCATTAGCAGCCAGAGTCAAAATAATGATAAAAAAATAATTACCAAAAGATGTAATTTCAGAATTTTCCGGTTTTAATGTTACCGATGACGTTTCACCACTATAACACATGCCTTGCAAAGTATCCACGTATTTCGTACTCTTGAATGTGAATATTCTAAGAATAATACGTGGAGCACATATCTGCAATATATATAAAATATTTAATCAAGTAAAATTTATTTAAGATACATATTTAATTTTAAAATAAAAATTATATTTTTTTTAAACAAACAAAATAATTATATTTTTTTTATACAAACAAAACATTTTTTTTTGTTCAAAATGTTCGCAAAATTTTAGACTTTAAACTGTTTCAATAACGGTTGAAGAACATGTTTATAACACAAGAATTAAAAGTCTTAATATATATTTTAAACATTACATATTATAATGCATGTATTTATTTTATGTATTAATATAACTTCTAGATTCAATTTTAATAAAATATTTAAATATATTGCAAAATAAGATTCTTCTAAATTTTTGCAATCTGCAGTTATATTCTGCTAGAACATTCTACATTTCCACAAAATTCATAGCAAAATGCTTTGCATAATCTATATTTTCAGTAGATTTGACTACTTTGGAGCAATAATATTTTATTAAGGAATTGAACTCTAATTTCTTGAGAAAACTTATTATAAATATAAATGTTTAAATCATAACAACTTTAATTAATTCCCGTTATATTTTTCATGTATACCGTAAGGAAACCGCTGTACTTTTCTATCGACATTGCACCACCGAACCAAGAATGTTCCTTCTTTACATACACGTGTCTATTAAGTTGGTCTACATATACTTCTTCGTCTTTCATGAAAGTCGGTTTAATCTCTACACATGAACCCGGTAAACTGCATCGATAAACTACACCAGGTTCGTTTAAAAGTCTAAAAGTCGATTGTTTCTGCGTATAATTTCCACGAGGTGCTCCTATAAACAACCTGTTAAAAAAAATATATATATGTATATATTTCAATATTTTAAGTTTTATAAGTAATAAATAAAATAACGATTATATTTTGTTTTCTAGTCGTTTTAGAAATGTGTTTCTAAAGAAAAATTATTATATACACAAAATTATTAAAAAAAAACGTACAACAAAATTATGTAAAAAAGCTAAAGAATGTATTGTAATAAAGTAAAAAATATAAGAAAAAAAAGGAAAAAGAAACACAGAAATTGGCTAGTAAATATATTGCAACAGAATTAATTAAATTTGCGTCAATACTCGATAAACTTGATATCTTTTCTGAAATAGTTTTTGAATACTCCAAAATCTTTTTATCCCGGATAGCACAGCATGTCTCAGCAAAATCTCACAAATCTGTGATTGCTTATGATGCTGGCAACTTGCTGTAGATTTGTCTTCAACGATTTCGAATATACCGACATTGTAGCAACATGCAGACAATAATGTGTATATGTATTGCCAGCAGTTTAACAGCAAGATAGCTGCGTCAATGTTATCGTGCGTTGTCGGTAATACGACAGCATTGTATGATGCTGCATATTATTATGGCAATTTGATGCATGGCAATAGTACGAATTTTGATGATGATGAGTTTAAAGTTGTCAAATTGCTGGCAAGTTGCTACTTAATATTATCAGATCGTGAAGGCATCAAGTTGCCAACAACTGAGGACTCAGTTGCCATAATTTTGGTAACAACACATACTTAGCAATGCATGCTTAGCAAACACATGTCAACAAGACAGATACGTTGTTATCTAGGATTATCTCATTTTCTAGTATATATATAGCTCTACAAATGTTAAAATAATATATTGAATTAATACATATTACCATGAAATATTTTTCTGTAAGTCATGATGTAGCAACACTGAATAACCGAAATAACTATGTTCGAATTTTGTGTACAGATACTGATCCGCATTATTCGCACTGTTCGGATATAAAATTGGATAATTTGTATCAATGTTATACGCAGACACAATTAGCAGATTGAATAATAATGTAAATTTCATTGTCGTTGAGATGAAACACTTCGTCACGAACTTTTATCACTACATGAAAAAACAATAAGTAATTTCAAACAAATAATTAATTATGTATAAGACTGCACAATGAAAACAATATAAAATTATTTCTTATATAGTATAAAAAATGTAATATGTATATCCAACTCAGTAAAGGAATTAATAAGAAATAACGTGATAAATCACTAACTAGTTTTGAAATAATATACTATCAGAAGAACAGGAAGGATGATGATAAGATAATCGCGACAAATCACATAGTATTCGTCATTCTAATATTAATTAACATATTTTCTATTATTCATAAATGCTCTTAAATTAATACTGACAGAAGATAATATACAGCAATTAATAAATCATATTTATTAAAAATGTACTTTATTCTCAAACATAAATTTTAGTATTTAAAATAATCGTGTATTTATATTTTATGAGAACAAGCTTGTCAATAAATTTCATAAATCGAGACAACAAAATAACATACATTATTTACACAACACGTTCATATTAATATACGAGACTTAAATCAATCGTATAAAATATATATAATACACACAGTGTCCAAAATTCGCACTCACGGAATGCAGTATGTGATTCCATAACAATATTAACAATTATAAATAATCTTTATGGAAATCTTTAGAAAAATAACAAAACATATATTATGCATAAAATATAGTCTATATTATAGTTCTAGTAATTCTAATCTTTTGTTGTGTAACAATTAATAAAAGATATAGATATTTTCACAAAAAGAAAAAATCATATAATATTATATGATATATAAAATATTCATTAGATGTACTATGTTACTTGTAATTTAATTGATTACAAATTTTATATTATTATATATACATTATAAATTTAATATGTTAATATTACATATATTTTTTATTATATATAGTGTTATTTTATTACATAAAAATATGTTTTATATTTACACCATAAAGATTTTGATTAAAAATCAAGCTTCAGGCACAGTGACAGAATGATATTAGTGTTTTCTAGTTTTCATCTTTAATTATTCCTCTTTGTTTAAAATAAAGCTCTTGTTCCTTTGGTGATCGTTTGTAAAATTTATCTCTTGGATCTACTGCAGGCAGCAATGGACACTGTAAATCAAATTAGGAAGTTTTTATAAAATATATATACAGGGTGAATCAGAGTCGTTGAACCAACTTTTTACCCTATGAGAAAATAATTGACTGCACACGTTATAATTCAATTAGGTATGAAGTCGATAATTTTCTCATAGGGTAAAAAGTTGGTTCAACGACTCTGATTCACCCTGTATATGTACATACATTATACATATATATATATATATATATTTCATTATAAATAAATAAAATTAATAAAATACAATGTTATTTATGCAATTATATAATAAGTAATTGTATGAGATAGCAGATAGTTTATAAAATAGTACAATAAAGTCAACAGTAACAATTACAAAAGATAAATGACATACCCCTGAATCCTTTCGCAATTCTAATGCTTTTGTCATGGTTTGATTTAAATTCTTCTCTCTGTCCCCATGAGCAGGATGTGTCGATATCCATGGCAATTCTGGAGGTAATGTATGCATTTCTGTAAGTGTCCTCATTGTAGCCCAAAATACAACAGCTTCACGAATATCAATACAAGCCTGTACAAAGAATAGATAAATAATAGATACTCTAATTCATATATAACTGTTAATTTTTGTATAAATGCATATGAACAATAATAATAAAATGTAAAATATAATATTGAATTCTATTATGTCATTGTATAACATACTTTTGCAGCCAGTTTAAGTCCTACTTCATCAGCTTCATTCTCCAAAATTCTATGGAATGGAAGATTGTACACGACATTCACAATTCGTTCCCCTATCATATGAATTATAGCAGCTGTAATATCAGGAAATAATGCCCAAATTAATAATATAGGTATTGCTATTAAAAAGTCCCACAACAGTTGATTCGATAGTGCCTCGAGCTATTGATAAAAATCATCGATTACTTTATAAATTAACATAAAAAATATTCATGTTACTACTTACGGAATGTGATAGCAACGAATGAGCCATTTCATGGGCTAAAATAATACCTAATTGGTCGTCATTTTCGATAATTTTTAAAATGTCTAAAGATATAAAGATATTTCCACCCTATGAAGTAAAAGAAATAAAGACAAAGAAAGCAAAGTAAAAATAGTTTTTTTATAGCTAATATATTGCTGTATAATATTGATAATGTGCGTACCGGCAAGATATACGAGTTTGTTAATGGTGTATTAATAACAGTTAGAGTCCACTGTGTATCTCTCATTGATTTTAAATCTCCATTAGCTATACGAATTTTTTCAATCACTCTTACGAGTCTTTCGTAAGCTGGATGAGAATGTGGTACCAAATCTCGTTTATGAACATCTAAATGCTAAGCAAAATGTAAGATTGTTATATAATATAAACTTTTAAAGGATATTTCTTACAAACATCTGTGAAGGTTTTGAAATATGTTTTTACATTACGATATTTACGTAAGTAAATAATTTACTTACAGCTTCAAGAATCATTTTTCCTAATTTCTTCTCTTGCTCCTTGTTAAAAATTATAAATCTTAAACGCTGTGTTAATGGATCAGTTTTAAGATGAGTTATGTAGTAAATAGCCAATATAAGGCTATACAGTCCAAAACAACCTTGTAAAAAATAAAGAAATATAGATAAAATAACATATGTTATTGTAATTTAGTAATCCCTAAAGATCTTACCTAGAAATACATTGCTTCTTTCCCTAAACCATCGCTTATATTCCTCTTTTTCTTTCCCAGACTTGCGTGCCCACCATTTCTTCATACTGCGTCCCATGAGTAACGCACTAATACGTAAGACAGGACGTAAAAGCATAGCCACTAATGGTGGAACATGCAAGTTTTGTGTAGTACGAAAGTCACATTTTTGCAATTTTAAGTACTGTGGCTTTCTATGGTCAGTTTTATCTTGAATGAGAGATCTCTTATATGTCCAGGTACGATGGCAAGTTCTTATAGAGCAATTAAAAAAATAACTCTGCTGAAGGTTTTTCTGACATAAACTTCTTGATATCGCAAGCATACTGACAGAGAATAAAGCCTAAGAGGACAATAATATATCCACAATGGAAACAAAAATACAGTCTATCATAAAATATTATCATTAATTTACAAATACTATCAATAAGAACAGTTTGATATTAGTATTATAATTGTTCATTATTCCGCTTGTTGTGTGAAATAGATAATTTTTTTGAGAAAGATATTACTGTCAGACACAATTAAGTCAATCACTGTAAATTCTTACAAGTTATTAATATGTATATAAAGCTTGCTTTTATTGTCCAATATCATCTGTCAGATCGAATTTAATTTGCAGCTTTGCCTTATTCAATGAATCAATTATATCGTTCTTGTTTTAATCCCGAATAATTGGCAAGGAATAAATCATCTCCTTTAAGAAAAATATTACTGTTAGACGTATATTGTAAATTCTTACAAGCTATCAATGTTTTTTTCCAATATTATCTGTCAAACTAAATTTAATTTATAGTTTTGCTTAATTATTTGACTCACTGAATCAATACTGTCCTTATATATTTTAGTCCAGGATAATAATTTCAAGATTATGACTTGTCAGATAACTGCATATACTTGTCAAAAGTTTTAAGATATGATTGAAGTAACGGAAAGCTGAAAATGGAAAAAGATATTGATACCAAATTCATGAAAAAGATTTTATTTGCATTCATCTATATTACAGATTAAAACAAAGATATATATATAGATGTTAGTATAATCACATTGTCATTAGTCACATAAATCATTATCATACCCAATATAATTTAATCCAAGTGGGATTCATTATTATTCAATTATGTAAGATGACAGAGTAAATATTTAGTTTGATATGTTCCATTTAAAATTTGATAGAAATGTATTCAATTAACGCTTTTCCGTAAAAATTAGAGTTTGAAAAGTAAAAATTGTCTTACGATAGCGTAAAAACATATAAGTCCTAAAAGTGATAATTGTGAAGGTTAGGAAATCTAACGAAATGCAGCGACGTGAGCTGACAGAGCATGCGCCGTGATATATTAAAAAAAGTTTACACAAAAATACAATACATCGATTGAATGTATTTTTATCGAAATGTAAGTGGAACGGGTCAAACTAACATTTATCTCTCATAAGATTTATTTTCTTTTTCAACAATTATATGAATATAAATATATATGTGTATATATA